ATTATAGTTAGATTGTAATGAAATGCTCTTACAGTGATGATAACACTTTTTAAAGAATATTATGGAATGAGCAGCTCTGAAAATCATCAGTAGATTAGAGATAATGCTAGATAATACACTTAAATATGCATGTAATGTTACCACAATGAGGTAGGTAATGGTATTTTTATGATTAAGATGTAATTGTGTCTTTGACACTGATATAATTAAGTACTGTGGTTTCTTAACACAAAACAATATCAGTATGCTATGAATGCTTACTAGTTAATGGATATGGTGGCTTAAGCCACTGCAAACTATTTGTTTACTTAGATATATGGCTATGATAAATATTGGCTGATAGCTAGGTTAGGCTAGAATATGTAAAAATTATTCCAATGCAAAATCAAGAAGTTTCTTATGTATTTGGCATTGAAATATTCGGTAAACGAATGATCATAAATATCTAGGTACAAAGGACCATATTATCTAGGTTCGAAGGACCATTAATATCCGGTTTGAAGGACCATTAATGTGGGAAAAAACCTGCTGGGATTGATATAAGAGGAGACTACCAGGGACTTGGACTGAACTAAATTAAAAATTTACTGTCTGCAAATTAATTCCTAAAATCTCTAGCTAGGGTTGTAAATCCTAGATCCTCTTTTCCTAATGACAGATTGTGGGCTGTAAGGGACAGGTGGGGTGAATGAATTAGTTGATAGAAGTTCCAGTCCACCTGTAGACAGGGATCTCACATCAGCTTGTATTTTATACAAGGATAAGATTTGATAAATTCAGTTATATGACTGAACACTGGCTCTGTTTAAATCAGGGATTTAAACATACATAGTCTAACCTAGCACCATAACTATTAACAGCCAATAGGTTCTTATACTATAAACAACAAATTAAATTGTAAAAGTATAATAAATGACTTTAAATGTAGTCTAAGCACTTAACTAAGTAATAGAAATTATTCAATTAAATGAACTTATATGATAACTTAAAAATTAACTAAGCAAGCAATTGTTAACTTAATTTATATACTGTATTCAAATATATATGCAGACATTTATATTCAATTTATATGATTATGTAGTCAGCTTGACTGAATCCTTTTCCACACAATGGACACCCATGAAACTTTATTTACGCATTGCGACTGAATCTTTTTCTGACACAACTGGACACTCATGAGGTCTAGTGCCTGGATAAGGACCTACTGCTCTTCTACAATATTAATAAACTTTCTGAAATATGAGGCGTTGCCTCGCTTTTTAACCGACAGACAGATTTATAGGATATTAAAGTCACACAAGCATACAATTGGCCAATCATATACCAAAATAACCTTCAATATACTTCTCTGCCAGTCGGGGTGCCTGTCTGACAAGGTGCCAGACTGATTAACTTTCTCTTGTTGAGTTTAGGCACGATATTTTAAGTCACAGCATTGCTGTATGATGTACTGGTAGCGTTGCTATGTGATTGACCCTGCAGTTGCAGAAGAATGATAGTTGATGAAGATTAGGAATGAAGATTGAGAAGCGTTTCCTGCCCGAAACACTTGGCACGGGCATGAATAGTGGCTTTAGTGGTTGTATGTACTAGCTTACCAGTATCTATAAAGCCAACAAACTTTGTAAAATCTCTTTATGCGCAACTGTACCTTTGCCTGACGGGATGTATGTACTCCCTGAATAAATATTATATATTTATTTATAGATAAAGAATAGGAATGAAGGTGGTGGAAACCGTGTCACTGTGTTCTCCACTATACACTCCTATTTTATATAAATGTTCTAGGATTTTCCTTGTAGATATTGTCCAGGTACTCCCCCAGTTCTAGAGAGTGTTCACTGGTGATAAAGATATTAGATAAGGTGTCCTTGAGCTGGTAATGTTCGCTAAGGATCCGTCACACGTGTTCACAGTTGTCAACAAACGCGTGGTGCTCCTGGGCTCTCGTGGGCGCTTCTGCCCCCGATCCCCTCCCTGCTCCCTTGAGCATGGTAGCTTTCAATGAATATTGATTGATTATTTTTACAGTCTAGAATTATGATTGAAATAAGATGTGATTATAATATAATTAGATATAGGATATAAAGATTATAAGTAGTAGAAAGCCTATTGGTCCATATTTCTTGATGCTTCTATATTGGAGCGGAGTCTTGAGGTGGGTAGAATATAGTTGTGCAATAATTGGCTGTTGATTGCTGGTGTTGACTTCTTGATGTGTAGTGCCTCGCAAACGTCAAGCCGCCTGCTATCGCTGTATCTATCAATTTTATAGGTTTATATTCCCCAATGATCTTTGGCAGGTGGAGTCCGGATTTCTTGGCGTTCACAGTTTCGATCAGTTTGTTGACCTTTGCTTTTAATTCGGCTGTAGTGTCCTTCGTTACCCTTTGGAACTTAGTTTGGTCAGAGAGTATGATGTTCATTTTCGCCAGATATTCGTCTTTTTTAAGAATGACATATATTGGCGACTTGTCACCTCTCCTGACAACTATCTCCTTGTTCTCACGAAGGCTTTTAGCTGCCGCTTTAAGCTCGGGGGACAGTATGGTGCTTCTGTAGTTGCCTCGATTCTTTCCTCCTTCTGCAATAAGTTCTGCTTGTAAGGTATCTTTGGTAGTGACCCTCTTTTGTGTCTCGAGGTCGAATATGTCGTCCAACAGAATTTCCAACTCTACTTTCCGGGCCATTTCACTCGGTCTGGACATAACATGACAGTTTATGCCCAGATTTAGGAGAGTGACTTGGTCCTCAGTGAGGTTAATTCCTGCAAGGTTCAGGAAGCCATCTCTTGGTCGCGGAATTGCCATAGGTCCTCCATATATTGTTGTTAGTTTCTTGATAATCCTTGTTTCAGTGCTGAGGTGATGTTGGTCTGTGAGGATGTCGAGGTGTTGTTCAATGCGGGTACGGATACTATGGTCGATGTTGCTATTTCTCCACTCCGGACTCCACCTGCCAAAGATCATTGGGGAATATAAACCTGGATATGCGTATGGAAATGTCAAGACGCACAAGCCTGGAAACCCACTTCGGCCAATCATTAGCCAGATACCCACACCCACGTACAGACTGGCGAAGCGACTCAACGGCCTGCTGACTCCTTATGTTCCTTGCGCCTTCAGCCTGAAGTCTCCAAAGGAATTTGTGGACTTACTGCGGGGCACACGGGCCACAGGGATAAGAGCCTCGTTGGACGTAGAATCGCTGTTTACCAACGTACCTGTGGACGAGACAATCGGAATGATAGCCGACAGAGTGTATCGTGATCCAGCCTGTACTCCTCTTGACATGCCAGAAAGTATTCTGAGGAAACTACTCCAAGCTTGTACTAAAGAGGCACCCTTCTTGAGCCCGGATGGGCACATGTATAAGCAAGTAGATGGGGTCGCCATGGGTTCTCCCCTAGGTGTCCTGTTTGCAAACTTCTACATGAGTACCATCGAGCAAAAAGTCTTAGTCGACATGAACTTGAAACCGGCCATATACTGCAGGTATGTTGACGACATTTTTACACAGGTACCTGATGTCAGACATCTGCAGGAGCTGAAGGAGGCATTTGAGCAGTGTTCCGTGCTGCGTTTCACTTACGAGACGGAAAAGGATGGGAAGCTGCCTTTTCTAGATGTAACAGTCATGGAAAAGGGCGGAGGTTTCCACACTGCAGTCTACACTAAGGAAACAAACATAGGAATGTGCCTAAATGCCAACAGCGACTGCCCCGACAGGTACAAGAGGAGTGTTGTTAACGCATACGTCGACCGTGCTCTCAGCCACAGCTCAGAATGGAAGCAAGTCGACGAAGAACTCTGTAGGGTAAGGCAGGTTCTAGTCAATAACGGCTTCTCCAATGGTTTCATCGAAGACATCATAAGAAGGAAAGTGAAAAGCCATGCAACCTCTGAAGAGACAACTAACACAACACCTATACCCCCTATTAGACTATTTTACAGGAACTTCTTTTCCACAGCTCATAAAACGGAGGAAAGGGTCCTGAAAGATATTGTTAATAGAAACGTTATCCCTACAGACAAAAATCAGAGGATACAACTGACTATTTACTATAAAACCAGAAAAACGGCCAGCCTACTCATGAGAAACTCTCCAGACACAAAACAGAACGCTTTAAAAGAGACTAACGTCGTCTATGCCTTCAAATGCCCACTTGGGGACTGTAAGCTCCAAAAAACCCAGTATATAGGCAAGACAACAACATCTCTTTCTAGGCGTTTAACGATGCATAAGCAACAGGGCTCCATTAAGGAACATATAATCTCTTCCCATAACCAAACCATCGCCAGAGAAATCCTAGTAAACAACACAGAAATCATCGATAGATTCAGCGATAGCAGGCGGCTTGACGTTTGCGAGGCACTACACATCAAGAAGTCAACACCAGCAATCAACAGCCAATTATTGCACAACTATATTCTACCCACCTCAAGACTCCGCTCCAATATAGAAGCATCAAGAAATATGGACCAATAGGCTTTCTACAAACACTTCTATTCAATACCCATTGTTTTCTGTTCTGTCTTGTGTTGATACTTTTAATACCCTATTAATATCCCCTGTTCTGTCTTGTGTTAATGCCACATCATCCTTCCCACCTCACTCAAATGTAGATATAATATCAGAGAGACGTAAGTTCTTATCAGTTGTGTATTTGTGAAGTCTTTGAAAATGTAATAAGTTTTACGAAACGCGCCCGTGTCGCGTCAGACTAGAAATAAAAATGAATTTTGGAGAAGTGATTTTTGATTTACCTCCAACAGTGAAGCGTAATGTACGAAAGATTGAGAAAATTCGTGTTAGAATTATTAATCTTACTTTTTCGGTCATATTTAATAATATATATATATATATATATATATATATATATATATATATATATATATATATATATATATATATATATATATATAGATTCTTATATATTCTTACATATTTGTTATATTCTTCATAACTTAAGAATAAGGTTGAAATATTAACTCTTGGAATTGATTTTACAGCTTTATTATGGCCTAACGTTAAGTGATGGGTTCCATTGACCTTGTCAACATTGTCAAAGGCTAAGTTAAGTGATGGAGTTTGGGTGGGGCAACCTTATATGTAGCACAGGGTTTGGTGAAGTGTCACGTGGCCCAATAGGCCCACAGTAGCTGACCAATCACCGGTGTTTTAATGATAGCCGAGGCAGAATTTTGGCAGTTTCGCCCTGGGCTCGAAGATGAGAGAGTGTTGCCAGGTGTTAGGTGGGTGTTGATGGTTGGGGTGTTTGATATGCAGTGACTCGACAATGTCCAGTCTTCTACTGTCGCGGCATCTGTCGATCATGTTAGTGTTGGTACCCAGGATTTCTTTGGTGATCAAGTTATGTGCTTCTGTGTTGTTTGTCAGGATATCTCTGGCGACTGAATCAGCGACAATAGAAGAGTGAACATCTTCGAACTACTGCACACAAAGCCAACCCCACGAACTGTCAACAACCACCTAACAACCGGTTACAATCTTGGACACCATCCAATAACACTAAGGTAAGTTTTTTTTTAGGAAAAAGCGCTAAGTCATTATGACTATATAGCACTGGGAAGCGATCAGGATATGGATATAGGATGAGACGGAGGGAAAGGAATGGTGACCAACCACTTGGACGGTCGGGGAGTGAACGCCGACCGTATTGAACTGAGACCGTCGCTCTACCGTCCACCCCAAGTGGTTGGTACCAACAGCACTAATAAGCCGATGAACGTCATAGGAAGGATTGGATCTCCCAGTGCTCGTTGCACTCTGCATTCTCTACATGTTAGGCGAAGTTGATGACTTGGACGAGGAGACGACGTGGGTGAGGATACAACATAGACGAGGAGACGACGTTGAAGTAGCAGACGACGAAGGTTTATGTGACGACAGACAAGAGGTGTGAGGGAAGGATGGTCTCCCCCAGCAGGGTGAGCAAGGCCACACACGAGCCTCCCAGCAGCAGGTAAAAGGCTCCCTGCATGTGGTCCAGACTAAGCACAACCTGCTTATCTTCATCCTGGAAAACATTAGTATTACACTAAGAGTTATAAAAGGTAATCCTAACTATATAAATGTCCAATATAACTTATATTTAATACTAATACTTTAGAGTATAAGGTGATATTCACGTAAGACAGGTGTGGAAGTGTTGCTGCCTTCCTCTCTGCCCTGACCCTGGCAGCCATCACCTCCACACTCCACCAGGTTATAATACCCGAGGCGTGCAGGCGAGCCATCAGTCGTGTGAAGCTCTCGCGAAACGGCGCACCTTTTCTGAACAGTAGAGATGGAAGACATATTTCAGCATCTGGTGGTATTACTACTAATAAAAACCACTGTTATCATTACTCCCTCTGTTGTCGTTACTTCCTCTGTTGCCATTACTTGCACTGTTGTCATAACTTCTACTGTTGTCATTACTCACACTGTTGTCATTACTTCCTCTGCTGTCATTACTTCCACTGTTGTCATTACTCCCTATGTTGTCATTACTCACACTGTTGTCATTACTCCCACTGTTGTCATTACTTCCACTGTTGTCATTACTTCCACTGTTGTCATTACTCCCTATGCTGTCATTACTCACACTGTTGTCATTACTCCCACTATTGTCATTACTCCCACTATTGTCATAACTTCTACTGTTGTCATTACTCACACTGTTGTCATTACTTCCACTGTTGTCATTACTTCCACTGTTGTCATTACTTCCACTGTTGTCATTACTTCCACTGTTGTCACTACTTCCACTGTTGTCATTACTTCCACTGTTGTCATTACTACCACTGTTGTCATTACTACCACTGTTGTCATTACTTCCTCTGTTGTCATTACTTCCTCTGTTGTCATTACTTCCTCTGTTGTCATTACTTCCACTGTTGTCATTACTTCCTCTGTTGTCATTACTTCCACTGTTGTCATTACTCACATTGTTGTCGTTACTTCCTCTGTTGTCATTACTTCCACTGTTGTCATTACTCACACTGTTGTCATTACTTCCTCTGTTGTCATTAATTCCACTGTTGTCATTACTTCAACTGTTGTCATTACTTCCACTGTTGTCATTACTTCAACTGTTGTCATTACTTCCACTGTTGTCATTACTCCCACTTCTGTCATTACTCCCACTGTTGTCATTACTCCCACAGTTAATATTACTCACAATGTGGTTATTACATTTACAGTTATCCTTACTAAAATTACATTACCAGTGTGTATTTAACTATAATCACCCTAGATAACTTACCATTGTGTCTATAACTGTAATGACCATAGTTTAGTTACCTACTCGTGTATACAAGTAAATATAAACTTTGACACTTTATCAGAGATAATTATATATTATTATACAATAATCCTAACTCATGCAGTAATGTAGTTCGTGTGACGTGATATGGTAAGGATGTGGGGCCAGATTCACGAAGCAGTTACGCAAGCACTTACGAGCGTGTACGAGCGAGTACACAGGATACAGGATACAGAATAGGAGATGAAGTACTTAATGAAACAGACAGAGAGAAAGATCTAAGAGTTGATATCACACCAAACCTGTCTCCTGAAGCCCACATAAAGAGAATAACGTCTGCGGCATTTGCGAGGCTGGCTAACATCAGAACGGCGTTCAGGAACCTGTGTAAGGAATCATTCAGAATCTTGTACACCACATATGTAAGACCAATCCTGGAGTATGCGGCCCCAGCATGGAGCCCGTACCTTGTCAAGCACAAGACGAAGCTGGAAAAAGTCCAAAGGTATGCTACTAGACTAGTCCCAGAACTAAGAGGCATGAGTTATGAGGAAAGGCTGCGGGAAATGCACCTTACGACACTGGAAGACAGAAGAGTAAGGGGGGACATGATCACAACCTACAAAATCCTCAGGGGAATCGACCGGGTAAACAAGGATGAACTATTCAACACTGGAGGGACGCGAACAAGGGGACACAGGTGGAAGCTGAGTACCCAAATGAGCCACAGAGACGTTAGAAAGAACTTTTTCAGTGTCAGAGTAGTTAGTAAATGGAATGCACTAGGAAGTGATGTGGTGGAGGCTGACTACATACTCAGTTTCAAATGTAGATATGATAGAGCCCAGTAGGCTCAGGAATCTGTACACCAGTTGATTGACAGTTGAGAGGCGGGACCAAAGAGCCAAAGCTCAACCCCCGCAAGCACAATTAGGTGAGTACAGTTAGGTGAGTACATCTTTTCTCAATTTTTAACGGCTTTGGTTACATTTATTAAACAGTTTACAAGCATGAAAACTTTCCAATCAACTGTTGTTATTATTATACACAGCCTCTTGTTGCTTCCGAGCTCATTAACTGTTTAATAATTGTAAACAAAGCCGTCAAAGATCTTCGGTATTAAATATGTGCGTAGGAATCTCACCGTTACAAACAGAGGCCCCATCCTCACTGATGTGTACCTTTAATGTGAGGAACACATTAGTGACGAACACTCACCTGATGCACCAACCAAAGGCAGAAAACATGGGAATGTCCTTGCTGATGTAGAAGGGAGTGTTGCCTCTGGCGTCCGTGTAGTGACTGGCGACAATGACGATGACGAAATTCTTGTAGCTGATGAAGGAGAACCGTCCCGTCAGCACCTGCCTCAGCGCCGCCTCCGCCGGCACCACCTGCCCACCACATCCAACACAAGATTTAGATTCTAATTGGTTTATTAACATTTGTGGCGTCTTAAGGATAATTACGTTGGTTGCTAAGCCAGCATATATGCGTATGAAATACAGCCATGATATTAGTAAAGAATCTAATTATTTGTATCTGTTATACATAACATTATAAAATGGAAGGGAGTATACCACCTCTGGCTGGAAGAAGGGGGACCCATCGCCTCGGAGGAAACCACACATAACGCATTGGAGGGAATGTAGGTCCCCTTCAATACAGTTTCTGTGTGCTTTTCTCCTACCACCCCCTTCCTTTTATATATATATATATATATATATATATATATATATATATATATATATATATATATATATATATATATATATATATATATATATATATATATATATATATATATATATATATATATATATGAAGTGATATATTTTTTATATATATGAACTGTCTGGCGAGTGATAATACTTTTCTCTTATAATTATGCTAAATAACCACCTTCATTTCGAGGAAAATGTGCTTGACAACGGGACTTGGATTTGTGTTAAAGTAATCAAGAACTGCTTCTGTTCGCATCCAGGGATCAGTTCCCCACTTCCAGCCTGGCTGCTTAACCAAGTCCTGGAAGCTGTCCATTGGTCGCGCCTTCCTCTGCACTGTGAGGTGCGCCATCAGAGACGAGCTGAACCCCGTAGTGATGATCAAGCAGAACATCAACCACCAGCCCACCAGCATCTGGGAACACGCAAGCACATTACCAGATAATGAAACACTTGTTCACTGAGAATTATATTACTGTTGATGTAATGTAGTATTGCCTTGTAAAACTTATGTATATATGATTTATATTGCATTTTCTTAAATAAAGATAAAAAAAATCTTACATTTTTCTCAACTTATTACTATTTTTGACATTCATATTCACGGATAATTAAGTGATTATAGCATCTAGCATAAAGGGTTGTAACAAAAAAATAACGATGTAAGTGTTAATAATAAAATATAAATCAACTCCTAATCCATCAAAATCACCAAATGTCTCTTTACGACAACTATCATGTCATTTCCTTTAAGGTATCCCAAAATTAATAAACTGAAAATTACAGTCACATTGATAATGTTAGAAGAGATCTAATTATTATTTATAATTATTCAATTTCTTAAGAAAGTTATTAAAATAGATTGTATTTAAATTTCTCAAAAAAGTATAAGAAACAACAGAGATCTTATAAAAATGCTAATTACTAAATAATTCGAATACATATGTTGATTATGTGTAGTTCTTGCTTATTATAAACATTGATGATTTACGCCATTACTTGTTTTAAACAAAAATTCATTTGATGGATTATAACTTTGTTTACAGTGAATCTCATTGTTGTCAACAATTAATAACTCAATCATCTATCCTCTCAGGATTGTACTGTTATAGTTATCCCCTGCATAGCAGTGGATTCTGCCTGTTCCAAAGTCTTCAAAATCAGCATACTGATTTTGAAGACATACCCATTCCGTCAACATCAAGAATCACCAACAATTCATGCCAAAAACGTATTGTCCAGTTCGCCCCTGCAACCCGTCGGCGATTGTTACCACCAGCAAACAACCACATCTCTTCCCGGTTCCTCATTTATGAACCTACAGCTTCGCGCCAGTATGACGTCATCTCCGGTATATATAGCCCTGGCATGGGCTGTGGTTAATCAGAAACCTCTTGGTGCTCTCCCAGTTCGTTTGTCTTGACGTTCTTACGAAGGGTGACAGATAACATTCAGACCCATTGTATAAAACATCAAAACATTCACCTTTTGTCAGTATACTTATTATATATTCACTTATATATAATATGTATTCACTTATATATGATATGTATTCACTTATATTCACTTATTTTTTCCTTTTTGATTGTGTTTATCCATGTGGTTAAGGAATTGTTTGTAATTTATTGTTTCATATTATTTTGTGCAAAATAAAGTAATTTTTTGTTATATTAAATGTTTAAAGTTTTTATTCTCTTGTTTTTTGTCCGCAATTGGTACACCATAAAGGAATCTCCAGCCTTATGTCGCGGGCTCACCATAGCCCATGCTACTTCGAACTTTGTTTTCCAGGTAGCGAACCTTTAACAACAACATCCAGCTTTATTTTATTTTCTCTTTTTTTTTTTTTTTTGCTAATGTGAGATTTGCAGCCCGTCCTCCAAAAAATGGGGCGGTAGATGTAACAGCACATATAGGTGCAATTATGTACTATTCATAGCAGCCAGGAATTGTACTTATTTTCACTTAGTATTAAATCGTACTATCAAATATAGTGAATATTTGAGTTTACCTGAAAAGCTGAATAGAAAACCACGACCTCACCTAACCGTCCTAGTGTTTGATGATAAGCATTTTATTGCTTCTTAATTACAATTAGTACTTAACCTATAGCAATATTGATATTAAAGTTTTATAAAACTATTAAAACACAACTAGAGTATATCAATAAATTAAAAAATAACTCTGGATATGTTCAAATTTTGTATAAAATCCCCATTGTTTAATAAAAGTGAAAGTAATTCATGATATTTAAATCTTGTGTATAGCGAACTGAGTTTAAACTTCATCCTAAAATTCTAAGTGTCTTAACAGAAAACGAGGAGAATATGAGGAGGTAAATATAACAGCCTCATAAGTGCAATTATGTACTATATATGCAACCCGTTCTCGCACTTGTTTATAGTCAATATCTTGCTTATGAATAAGTGCATATGTGACATACTATTTATTGTGAATATTTGAGTTTACCTTGAAAAGCTGAATAGAAAACCACAACCTAACCTAACCTTCTTAGCATGATAAGATATTACAATTAGTACTGAACCTATACCTATATTGATATTTCAGTTTTATAAAAATAATAAAACAAAACTAAAATATTTAAATAAATTGTAAAGTAACTCAAGATACTGTCAAATTTTGTATAAAATCTCTATTGTTTAATAAAACTGAGAGAAAAAGTCAGTGCCTTGAATTTTTTTTTGGCTTGAACTATATCACATATGTACTTATTTATAAGCGAAATAGTGACTAAAAGCAATAAGTCATATATGTGTTGTCTTGTGCGAGAGCAGGTTGCAACATGAATGTAAGAAAGTGTACTTATTACACTTAGTATTAAACCGTACTGTCAATTCGGAGGATGGGTTGCAGGAGGTTTGCCACAACACTTGCCAGGATAAAACTGCACTATTCCAGATCACATCACAGTGCACAATAAGTTTATCCGCATACACCACAGTTGGTGGGCACATACACCACCACAGTTGGTGGGCACATACACCACCACAGTTGGTGAGCACATACACCACCACAGTTGGTGGGCACATACACCACCACAGTGGGTGGGCACATACACCACCACAGTGGGTGGGCACATACACCACCACAGTGGGTGGATACATACATCACCACAGTGGGTGGGCACATACACCACCACAGTTGGTGGGGACATACACCACCACAGTTGGTGGGCACATACACCACCACAGTGGGTGGGCACATACACCACCACAGTTGGTGAGCACATACACCACCACAGTTGGTGGGCACATACACCACCACAGCTGGTGGGCACATACACCACCACAGTTGGTGGGCACATACACCACCACAGTGGGTGGGCACATACACCACCACAGTGGGTGGGCACATACACCACCACAGTGGGTGGATACATACACCACCACAGTGGGTGGGCACATACACCACCACAGTTGGTGGGGACATACACCACCACAGTTGGTGGGCACATACACCACCACAGTGGGTGGGCACATACACCACCACAGTTGGTGGGCACATACACCACCACAGTGGGTGGGCACATACACCACCACAGTTGGTGGGCACATACACCACCACAGTGGGTGGGCACATACACCACCACAGTGGGTGGGCACATACACCACCACAGTGGGTGGATACATACACCACCACAGTGGGTGGGCACATACACCACCACAGTGGGTGGATACATACACCACCACAGTTGGTGGGCACATACACCACCGCAGTTGGTGGGCACATACACCACCACAGTGGGTGGATACATACACCACCACAGTGGGTGGGCACATACACCACCACAGTGGGTGGATACATACACCCACATACACCACCGCAGTTGGTGGGCACATACACCACCGCAGTTGGTGGGCACATACACCACCGCAGTTGGTGGGCACATACACCACCGCAGTTGGTGGGCACATACACCACCACAGTGGGTGGATACATACACCACCACAGTGGGTGGGCACATACACCACCACAGTGGGTGGATACATACACCACCACAGTTGGTGGGCACATACACCACCGCAGTTGGTGGGCACATACACCACCGCAGTTGGTGGGCACATACACCACAGTTGGTGGGCACATACACCACAGTTGGTGGGCACATACACCACAGTTGGTGGGCACATTCACCACAGTTGGTGGGCACATACACCACAGTTGGTGGGCACACACACCACAGTTGGTGGGCACATACACCACAGTTGGTGGGCACATACACCACAGTTGGTGGGCACATACACCACAGTTGGTTGGCACATACACCACAGTTGGTGGGCACATACACCACAGTTGGTGGGCACATACACCACAGTTGGTGGGCACATACACCACAGTTGGTGGGCACATACACCACAGTTGGTGGGCACGTACACCACAGTTGGTGGGCACGTACACCACAGTTGGTGGGCACATACACCACAGATGGTGGGCACATACACCACAGTTGGTGGGCACATACACCACAGTTGGTGGGCACATACACCACAGTTGGTGGGCACATACACCACAGTTGGTGGGCACATACACCACAGTTGGTGGGCACATACACCACAGTTGGTGGGCACATACACCACAGTTGGTGGGCACATACACCACAGTTGGTGGGCACATACACCACAGTGGGTGGATACATACACCACCACAGTTGGTGGGCACATACACCACCACAGTTGGAGGGCACATACACCACAGTTGGT